GAATCCCCTTTGCATCAAATGTCACACAGCAAGACACGGACACCCTGCAGCCAGAGGTTGTTGTTTTTTTTTTTTTTTTTTTTTTTTTTTTTGATTGGCAAGGCTTCACTGGGCCCTTCTCATCTTCAGGAAGAAATTTTCAAAGTGATTTCCTGAGCAGAAGTGTCTTGCCTTAGAACAACGACAGTTTTGAATTCTTGGGTGCTATGTCCCCCCCAAAAAAGTGAAGCCAAGACATTTCCCTCTGCTTTGTCTTGGCTCTGGTCCTAATTTTTCAGTCCAAATTCCTCCAAAGGCTGCAGAGTAAAAGAAGAAAAGGGAGAAGGTTTGTCATGGTAAAAGCCCGAGAGACGTCAGCGGCTGTTTCAGTGAGAACTGAACAAAAGAAGGGCCATAGGCTGGGTTCTGCTCTGCTTGATGATGGCACAACCTGTTTGTAAATTGGAGCAGAATGTGGCTTTTTGAATTTAGTGCCACTGTAAAGCTCCCAACTCTCCCACATGTGGCACCCATAGAACGCTGATCCGCACATACCTTACAGTGCCTGAAACGAGGATTGAGACCTCACAGGCATTTGGCTGCAGTATGTCACTTATCTTTAGATCTTAAAATTGGAAAATACTAACTCAACTGCATATTTTGGGATTGTTCACTCTTTCAAAGGCATTTACTGATCTCTCCTGGGTTATCTTTCTGTAATAGAGGGTTCATAAATGGTTCTGACTTTGACAGATGGAACCCCAGGAGGCCCCTCTGATTTAGAAAGAGTTATCTGGCTGTCACTCTGCATGATATAAAAGGAGGAGAGGTCAATTTAAAATATTTGTGCTGCACATCCCCTTTGAGCTTTGATACTTGCATAAAAGTATTACATCAATAACGTTTAAAGTATTTAAATAATCATTTACGTATTTAAAATGTGTTTTAGAATACAGTATAAGTAGGTCAGAATATATGAATAGGAAAGCAGAAGAATTTGTTTTAATATTCCCATGTCTAGGTTAGCATCCAAGAAGGGAACCTTATAAAAAAACATCTAGTAATACAGTCTAATATTCTTTGAATGGAAAGTAATTAGTGTTTGAGAGTACATGAATTATAGTAGCTTTAAATTTTGTAGTCTGAAGGTTTTTTGAGTGATTTGTATTTGCATCATTTTCTAAATAATCTTGTAATTGCATGTACAATTTGGATGTTTGCCAGACTTCAAGGATGTTATTCTTACTGGTCTGTAACATTTTCTTTTCATTAGGGGGAAAACTGCTACTGAAGCCACAGATGACATTATCAATAACCATCTCCCTAAACTGAAAGAACTCAAACTAAGTGGTGAAATACATGTTAACAATATAGATGTGTTCTGTGAGAAGGGAGTCTTTGATCTGGATTCTACTAGGAGAATTCTTCAAGCTGGAAAAGAGATAGGGTTACAGATTAACTTCCATGGTGATGAACTCCATCCGATGAAATCTGCGGAGGTACGTCTTTCTCAACATTCAGTTAAGCCATTTTTGCTTTTTGCTTTGCATTTGTGAGAGCTCAATCTTTGAAAGAATTGCAGTTTTCAAAACCAAGGTTTTCTTTTCTAAGACTTTATAAAATAGACCATTCATAGACATCTATTTCTATCAGTCGATAGAAAGTGCAGCCCTTGTGTGGCTTTGGAGTTAAGGACATGGGAGGAAGCCTTGACCTCTGGGACTAACACGCTCTGCCTAATCAAACATTGACTTTGCTTATCTTTTACGTGGGATACAGATGGGGAAGGTGGATATCCGTGAACCCAAGAATGACAAAAACATGGCTTCTATGCAACTTGAAAAATCTTTTTTCCCTAAATCTCCTGTAAGCAGTAACAAGTCAGATGTGCAGTGATCACACTCAGAGTGATGGTTTAGTCAAGAATAGGCTCTCAAATGTCTTGATAAAGAAAGTCACTGAGATCACGTGTTGCCATCATTTACACATCGCTTCTGTCCTGTGGGATCAAGTTACTCTCTGCTGTATTTACAAAAAGCAACATACAAACAAAACAAAAATTTGATTGATCACAAAAGCTTTTTTGGTGCTTCACCACTGAAGGCAGCAGCTGCAGTATTAGTTCTGCAACCAGTGTCAGTTTTGTCAACCTTTTTCTGCTGGATGCTTTATGAACAGGAATGGATAATGGTTTTATCCATAGCTATCCCATAGTTTGCACATTAGTCTTTTAAAAACAGCAATAAAGGTGCACTTCCACTCGGTGGATGGTTAATATCCCTTTTGTCGCTGCTTTTTTTTTTTGTTCTTTCAAGCGTTTCTTTTTGTTCTTGTAGCTAATTTATATTAACAGTGAATTGTCTCCTCCAGTCATTTGATAACACTGCTTTACCGAATTAATTAAGAACAGTGAGTAATTTTCTTGAAAATTTGCTTAGCTTGGAGCTGAACTAGGAGCCCGGGCTATCAGCCACCTGGAAGAAATTAGTGATGAAGGTATCACAGCGATGGCAAGAGCTAAGTGTGCTGCTGTCCTTTTACCAACAACTGCCTACATGCTAAGGTAAGGCCACTAGATGGGAGGAAAACTTTTCTAACAGCAAAACTATGCTTGTGGCTTTAGGATCTTTTAGTGTAAAAGCATAAGCTTGTGTCTATGCCTTAAGGATCAGGCTGGATCAGGGAAGGCAATCACAAACACAAAGAGCTGAACGAGCCTACTTATGTCTTGGTTTTGGTGGAGATCCTCAAAAATGAAGCAATTCCCTACTTCTGAGAAGTCTCACAGTAGGTTTTGAGTGGTTCAGTCCACACTGGAATTTAAGTCTTGTGACAGGCTAAGATGATAATCAGGCATTCATTTAAGAATAAAACTGGACTGTTTTTCTTTAATCCATTTAGACTGTGCAAACCGAGTTAACTTCTTTTCAGGTAAATTTTATCTGCAATGTATGTACAGGCTTTCTTGCAGAAGGTTTTGCTGTGAAATGAATCATTTGGTTATCAAAAGAGCTGAAAGGCTGTGGGTAGCATCTTAAAGATCTCATCTGATTTTACGCAGGCAACACTGAGAGATCTTTTGCATTAGCATTGTTAAGTGAGAAAATCCTCTAATGTATACAAATTAAATTCACAGCCTCAATGTACTATTTTAAACTGCCAGCAGAATTGGGAAGGGACTATTGCATTGCTTATGCCACTGCTCATGTTTGGGAAACTGTATTTGAAGCTATAAGGACTAGAGAATTACTTTTTTGAGAAATGAAGGTTTTCACCTTGTAAATCCTTAAGCAGCTGAGATCTGGATAAATATCAGAATTTCAATGGCCTGGAGCCTGATGCTTGATAGTGGCAGCTGCCACATGCTATTACTGCAAAAGCAGTGGATCACAGTTCCCATTTCTGCTGTCCATAGGGTGACATGTAGAGACACAAGAGGAGAATTTGGCCTTTTGTCATCAAAAGGAGGAGTGCGACTGAAGGCATGAGTGCAGCCAAACTGAGTGATGACTTTTGCTCTTGTAGTTCATCATGTAATAACTGAGTTGTGCTGACAAGTGTCTTTTTCCCACTAGACTGAAGCAACCTCCAGCTAGAAAAATGTTAGAAGAAGGAGTTATAGTTGCTCTCGGCAGTGACTTTAATCCTAATGCATACTGTTTTTCAATGGTAAGCTATTCTTCATACTTAAACCAACATGATATTGTGAAATGTCTTACCTGTACAACTTATGGATAGGTATTTGCACACTTTAAACAGTCTTCATATCTGCAAAGAGAGCTGTATGCCCAGCTTAGACAATTGTTCATGCTTATTTATGTGGGTTGGTAGCTTTTGCCAGAAATTCTTGAAACCAGAAGGGCTTCTATTCTTCACATGCACCGAAAGGCTTATAAAAAAGGGTCTCAAAGTTCCTGATTTTAGAGTTCTCATTTTGGAGCTGGCAAGATTTATGTAATGCAGAACAACTCCTTCTGTTGCACAAGGATGGAGGAGAGTCCTTAGGGATTTGAGGCATGAACAGCTTGATTTGTGTTACTGGTAACTCCCATTTTCCCCTTAACTTGCCTACTAGCCTATGGTGATGCATCTGGCCTGCGTAAACATGAAGATGTCAATGAATGAAGCACTAGCAGCTGCCACCATTAATGCAGCTTATGCTCTGGGAAAATCGGACACGCACGGCTCCATAGAGACTGGCAAGCAGGGGGATCTTCTTATCATAAATTCATCAAGGTTTGTTCTTCCATTGTTGTTTGAAATGTGTTTTAACATAAGGGGCTTTGTTTCTCACCATATTGTGGATAGGGGAGAGGTTAGTGAATTCCCTGTGAAGTTATTTTTATCTGAAAAAGGGACACTGCTACCATTTTAGACCCACTTTCCATCACCTTAATCACTCGAGTGGAAAATAAAGCGTAAAACTTTTAGGGCTAATATTACAAAGAATCAATTTCTAATTACAAATTATCTAAAGATAATACCTGTTTATTTTGTAGAAGGAATTATCTACTGATTTGTATATTAACTCGCTGTATTCCTGCAACAAGAGGTCAACATGTAAATATGGAATAGTGTTTTCCGATGGTTCAAGCAAATCTTTTGTAATTGCCAGACATACTAGGCATGTGACCTGCTTTTATGCAAGTCTGGATATTCTTAAACATCTTGCTGTCTTTTTAGGTGGGAGCACTTGATCTACCAGTTTGGGGGACATGAAGCATTGATTGACTATGTCATAGTTAAAGGAAAAGTCGTCTATCAAAATGAGAGGTCTGGAACAATGAGCAGTTACTGAGGGAAGACAGTAATTTAGGAAGCTACTATAATCAAATTGCCATGGAATATTTCAAGACAACAGACAAATCAGATTTATATTTACCGATCAATTGCTTGCCTGCTCACCTTACCAGCCTTCTTATTCAAATAAACTTTACTGAGCATTACCATTGGGTGCATCTTCATGTCTGTTGTCCTCCACTGCATAAAAATAACTTCAAATTGTATCAATTTGAAATAAGACAGTTTCCAAAAAATGTTTTCCTATGCAATTTTAATCTATAAGATTATTATACTTGAGAAAAACAACCTCAACAAAAACCTTATAGTGAATGAAGAAGTTCGGCTCCAGGTAAGATTTATTGGGAAGGGTGATGCTGTTAAGGGGCCAACATGTGGAATGGCCCTTGGTGGTGCTGGGAGGTCACGGCATCCTGAGGAAATGTTCATAACTCCCAGGTCTGCTCAGTCTTGAACTCAGCAGATACCGGGAACCACAGTCATCTGTAAGCACAAAAAAAGACCTGATTTCATTTATTCTAGGCTGAATCTGAAATAGCATGAGAAAAGTTCATTCATGGAAGTTTAAGTCTGCTTCTGATGATGAGTATGACAGCTCCCACTCAGAGCAATGTCAAAACTTAAGATCCTTTTTTCTTGTAAGCACTCTTTCTTTTTTCTTTCAGCTACTATTTTTTTCAGGGGTTTGTACCATCATTTGGGGACGTGGTTTGTAGAAAAAAGGATGATACAGCTCTGGAGAGTTCAAGCTGGTGCAGTGTTTAAGCAGAGGGTCTTGAGTGGGAAGGGTCTCTGAATACACACTGACTGAGGCTTTTCTTTAACTTTTCGAATAGATGGCAGTTGCAGAAACAAAAGGGCTTAACCTTCTGAAGGTGAAGTCATAAAACTATACCTGACAAGCATGAAGAACTTAGCATCAAAACTAATTATTGATATAAGCAGGTGACATAACCTGTGGTACACAGCAGAGTACTTTACTGAACCAGACCCCTGAGGAAGAACAACAGTCTCATTGCAATTAACAGGTATTTGAAAGCCATCACACATGTCTGAGCTTTATTGTGACCTTCTGATCTCCCTGAGCCTTGGGCACATCTGTTAACATCCAAAATATGTAAGCCAACCCATAGAGTATCTTTGTTCATTCTTTATTTGAGTCAGGCTAGCCAACTAAATCAGTTTTTAAAACAATTTAATGGCATTCCTGCCACTAGATGCATTTTCCTGCAAGCAGATGTTGCACCAGATGTGGGTGTGGACCTTTGTTTTTATAGAGCTTGGAAGAACATCTGAAGTATGCGATCACTTGGTCCATTCTGCCCAAGACAGCCTTCATAAATAACATTTATGCAGGCATTTGGGGAAAGCATTTCTGAAATGCAGTGTGAAGCTGGCATGGTGCCTCCTGGCTTTGCAGAGGCATGGGGCAAAGCTGAGGCCACCGTGCTGCAGCGTGTGCTGGTGGTCCCTTGCTCCCAGGCAGCCCAAAGCAGAGATGAGTGGGAAGCAATGCTCAGCACCTCTTCTCTGAAGTTCCTAAGGCATTTGGGAGCCCAAGATTGCATAAGGAAAACCTCAAACATTCTCTTACTGGACAGGAATAGGCATTCATGGCCCTAAACTACTGATGTGAGGGGATTCTGGTCTCACACACAAGCTCTGACGGGAACATCTAACCACGTGCTTGCCCAAAGAGCTTGGCCAAATCCAGTAGCCATTTGGGAGTATGCCCCAGGCTATAATTAGTGGCAGGTTTGCAGTTAGAGGATGTGGTTATACTTCAGTGACACAGCCGGCTTAAGTGGTTCCTGATGGCCAGCACACCACACTGAAATGCAGGAAGATTGTGTTTGCTTGTTTTTAGCATGGCTTACTTCAGTGATGACTTTCACCGTGCTGGCTCCTGCAGCAGCCAGGAGCAGGATGTAGGTGACAGCATGGTGGGCAGAAGCTTCTGCCGGCTTTGCTGCTGAAGGAACTGCATTGTTTAGCCATAACTTGCTGCTGAAGGAAAAGGGTTGACACTGTGAGATACAAGCCTGGCCATTCGTTCTCAAACTTGATTTCAATAAATACCTAATTTTATGCAAAACAGAACAGCTTCAGGGGGAGATTGAGATAGGTCTGCTACAGAGAGCCTTGAGCTGAAAGAACAGGGACTTACTTGGTACATGAGGGAGAGATGGAGGCTGGAGATGCTGCAATCAGACGCAGAAAGGAGGAGCTGAACTGGGAGCTCATGGACCATGGGCGGGTACCCTAGTTCCACATCTTCTGGCCCGGTTAGGTGTCTCACTGCCAGCTTGCCAACAGGCATCAGTTGTCTCCTCAGGTCATATTTAATGCAGAAGGTCTCAGACACACGATGGAAGTCCCACACTACCACTTTGGCTGCCTTTTGCAGTGTAGCCAATACCCTGGGAAGATTTCCAGCCCGCACTGAACCCCCTGCAGCTGTGGGGATCGGGCCAGTAGTGCCAAGGCTGATGGTTGTTAACCAGCCTCAACATTCCATCGCTGCTCCATGAAGTGAAGTCTAAGTCCTGACTCTTCCCTTGCAAAACAAAGCCTGTGCCAGAGGTCAGCGTTGTGACACGGAGCACACGTCTGTGGGCACAGGGCCCTCGGCAGCCAGGCAGACACCTGGTGAGCCATGGGACTGTAGATCTTGCTACTATTACTTTAGAACTGGTTCACATCCACCACTCTTACAGCTCCTCCTCCTTCCCCTTTCCTGGCCCTTGTCCCACCTGTCCTCCTTATTTCCAAATTAAGCTTTTCCTTTACATTTTCATGATCACACATGACAGAAAAATAGATTGCTACAGCCATATTTATTGCAGGTGTGAGCTCATGGCTCTTGGAAAGCTGCATTAAGTGTAGTCATCACGAGAATACAATATATTTGTCCTGGAGTAACAATCTCCACAGCACATTTTTATGGACACAGCTTTTCTGATTTGTGAAGCACCTGCTCTAAAAATGCTCTTGTTACACAAGACTCTGTACCTCACGTATGATCTGCAAAAGAGAGGACAATTAAGTGTAAAGATAATTTTGCTTGTGGCAGAATGAACAGCACTGCAGCAACTCCCCAAAGGAAAAAAAAAAAAAAAAGGTGAGAATATAAAATTTAGGCTGTTTGGTATCATTGGCATAGATGAAGAGAAAACAAGCAAAAAGCTGACAAAACAAATACAGCAGGCCCTGTATAAAACCTCCACTGGTTTCAGCAGGAGTCTGAATGTCTTGTGTTTGGAAGCTCAGGAAATTCAGTCAAAACCACACTATCATGACAAAGCTGTCTTTCACACGTGAGGAAACAAGTGAGCTATTTCTCTACTATCTCTATGTACTCCTGAGCTTGACAGTCAGGTCCTTTGAGTCACCTGGAGAAACCACATTGAGTTTGAGTAGAAGAGCCACTTTCAGGCGAGGTCCTGGAAAGAATCTGCTCTCTACCAGAGGATCTCTTAAAGTTCATTCTGATGCCTGTGGTCATGACCAACACCCACATCCATTTCCAGCGATCCCAGGGAGAAAGCTGTTGGTGAAATGGGTCTTGATTCAGGAACGTGTTCCCTCCTATACTTTTCAATGTAAGGTTTAGCCACTTCCCACACCTGCAAAACAAGGAAGTGTAACAGCAGAGTCAGAGGCAAAACAAAAGGTCAGGTCAGATATTAACGTACAAGTTGAGGACATCCTATAGAAAAGTTATTGGGATGGAGATGAGAATTACAGAGCTATGTAAATAGCTGGGCCCCTCAACACATTTCACCACTCCTATTACTTCATCCAGATCCCCTATTGCTTCCAGACCATGCCCAAGGGCCTCAAGCCTAGGGAGCCCTCCCTGCCCCAGGAATGAGGGTCACCATCTGGAGAGACTACCAATTTGTCTGGACATCTGTGGGTGTATAAAATCCTGTCTTCACATGGTTCAAAGTTGGACCTATGTCTGGACCCTGTCAGATTTAATAATGTAAGCTATTTACTACACAGGGCAAGTTTAGGAATGGATTTCTAAATCTATCCCACCAAAACCAAGAAAACCCAAATCTCAGAAAATCCAGTGGGTTCACCCCAGGCAGAGGAGTGCTTTTAGTGAGGCCATCCAGTGAATGCATGGATGTCTATTTCCAAAGCAGAGTTGCAGCGTGCTCCTCAGGACAGTCCTACACAGCACGTGCCAAAAGAGAACACTTGCCTTCTGTTCCACCAGCAACCTGTGAGCTGCTTCGATGTCTGGGGCCATGAAGCGATCTTTCATCCAAGGCCTATAACAAGACACATTGCGAACATTGGCCAAACATTAACCACCACCGCTGGCAGCTACTCTCCAGGCTGGAGGAGGTGTTTATCTGATCTTACCTCACAACAGAGCGCACAAGGTCGTAGACCTTCTCCAATGGGGTTGTTGTTCTCAGAGGGCGTAGGAATTCAATGCCCTGGCAGGCTGCAAGTAGCTCAATAGCCAGAACTAGAAAATCAGAAGAGAAAGTGTGATTTTTGGCAGCTCAAGGTAAGGTTTCCCTTATAAAGCTATCCCTGACATTTGTTCTAGCTAATACAGAATCACAGAATCATCTAGGTTGGAAAGGACCTTTAAGATCATCAACCATTATCCTAACAGTGCCAAAACTATCACTAAACCATGTCACTAAGCACCACGTCTACCCAGCTTTTAAATACCTCTAGGGATGGCAACTCAACCACTTCCCTGGGCAGCCTGTTCCATGCTTTGCTCCATACACACCAAAGTGACCCTTTTGGTGTAGAAATTTTCCCCAATACCAATCTAAACCTCCCCTGGTGCAATTTGAGGCCATTTCCTCTTGTCCTATCATCTGTGACTTGGGAGGAGAGACCAGCCCCCATCTCTCTACAACTTCCTCTCAGATAGTTGTAGAGAGTGATAAGGTCTCCCCTCAGCCTCCTTTTCCCCAAACTAAACAATCTCAGTTCCGTCAGCCGCTTCTCGTAAGACTTGTGCTCTAGGCCCAATATGATATGGTTTCAGGCAATGTGAAAAAAAGTGGATCCACACACTGCCCAGAGAGGCAGCCCAGCAGCAGGATCATTTAAGGATGGTGCTGGGTGTAGTATCCAGCATTTTAGCAAGCGGATTTCGGGTGTTCTT